ACAGCGTAGATACTCCTGCAAAACACACACACACACACACACACACAGTCCTGTTAATATGGTTACATCCTCACACACACACACGAGCGACCTGATTGGCCGTCCTACCTGAGGTGGGCGGCAACCATCTCGTCGTACGGCGGCTCCAGGAGCTGCTGACATTTTTCTTCTGGACTGGCCAGCTGTGTGTCTCACACACACACACACACACACACACACACACACACACACACACACAGGTGAGGCCGTGTCCTAGCGTATCCTATCCGAGCCGTCTACCTGAGTGGGCGGAGCCTCACCTGTAGTCGGGGGTTGACGACGTGCGGGTGTTTGAAGGAGAGCAGCTCGGAGCAGAAGGAGCCCTCGTGGTTGTCTAAGGCCTCGTTCACCTGCAGAGGAAAACACCAACGAAGAAGAAGAAGAGCAGGTTAAAGGCTGCGGCGCCACGCGGAGATCACATGGTGTAACTACACACCTGCTGCAGGTACTGGTTGATGGTGACGTGAGCCATCACAGCAGGAGACCTGGAGACACAAAATACTTCAGTCATGTACTAGTACTACAGGGGAGAAATACTGTGGTACAAGTATATAAAAATAATATAAAAAATAAATATTAAAATTATACTTACTAATATTTGCACTATTGTTTAGTTATTTCATTTAAATATTATTCTATTTCATTGTATATATTGTGCATTTTATATTTATATGTTAAATATGAAATAGTATTTATTAAGTATCTGACATATGAATATTTACTATTAATTCATCTTTGAGTCGATAAAATATTTAAACACATTTTATACAAATATTCAGTTTAAAATAAGAGAATTATTAATAATACACCTGATGATTAAATGATTAAACTTTCACCAAATCGATAAATATTGTTGCCGAATAATGTTCAGTTAATCGATTAATCATCATAGCTGACAATAGAAACATAGTTTTGATCTTAAAGGTGATCTTTAACGTGTTTTCACTATTTTATTATAAAACTTAACGGGGCTACGGCTAGTTAGCTGCTATGCTAACTCGTCAATTCACCTACTTTTAGGTTTAAAAACTGTTAAATCGCTTTTTTTCAGGCTTCAAACTCAACATTAAGAATCGTGTAAATGTAATAAGTAAATACAAATCGCTACGAACCTTTAAATTGAAGTTCTGACCCAGAAATGAACCGTTTCAATTCATTCAACGATCTGCAGTTGGAGCTAAACACGACGCAGAACAACTTCCGGGTCGGTAAACCTGCTTCCGGTAGCGCTTCAGAATAAGACTACATGTTTCAAAATAAAAGTCTCGAAGGCTACATTTCATAATTAACCGGGATAAAAGACGTCATTTCCTATTTAAATTAAAATATCTGTTATTTTTACTGAGAAAATATTCCTGATTAAGAGTATCTGTCATGTTGGAGATGAAGAGGGAAATATAACAAATCAAACGTTTTTAAACCTTTATTGACACAGAACAGAACAACAGTCAGTCTCTTCCTTCATGCAGAGATCCACATTTACAGATATAAAACTGTAGAATTTACATATATTATTCTTTTGATTTATTAACTATATCGTTTTTGAGAAGAGAAAAGCAGAAACTTTGTTGATAAAGTATAATAACAGGTTAAATATAACAGGTTAAATATGAACCTGTTTAAACACAGCTGATGCCTGTAAATATAAATAAACAGGTTTAATAGACCAGAGGACAACAACAACAACAACAACGTCTTCATTAACTGGTAAAATAACATCATGATATATATATATATATTTATGTATATAAGTCGTGAAAACCCTTTGTTAGTAGCCCCCAATAGATATTAGTAGCCCCCACTAGATGTTAGTAGCCCCGAATAGATGTTAGTAGCCCCGAATAGATGTTAGTAGCTACCAATAGATGTTAATAACCACCAATAGATGTTAGTAGCTACCAATAGATGTTAATAACCACCAATAGATGTTAGTAGCCACCAATAGATGTTAGTAGCCACCAATAGATGTTAGTAGCTACCAATAGATGTTAGTAGCCACCAATAGATATCAATAGTCACCAATAGATGTTAGTAGCCACCAATAGATGTTAATAGCAACCAATATATGTTAGTAGCCCCCAATAGATATTAGTAGCCACCAATAGATACTAGTAGCCACCAATAGATGTTAGTAGCCACCAATAGATATTAATAGCCCACAATAGATATTAATAGCCACCAATAGATACTAGTAGCCGCCAATAGATATTAGTAGCCGCCAATAGATATTAATAGCCGCCAATAGATATTAGTAGCCGCCAATAGATATTAGTAGCCGCCAATAGATATTAGTAGCCGCCAATAGATATTAGTAGCCGCCAATAGATACTAGTAGCCGCCAATAGATATTAATAGCCGCCAATAGATATTAATAGCCGCCAATAGATATTAGTAGCCCCCAATAGATATTAGTAGCCGCCAATAGATACTAGTAGCCGCCAATAGACATTAGTAGCCACCAATAGATACTAGTAGCCACCAATAGATGTTAGTAGCCACCAATAGATATTCATAGCCACCAAAAGATATTATATAGTAGTATAATATATATTCGTACAATATTCACGAGAACAAAAGACCTATACTTAACTAGCCACCACTAGATAAAAGTAAGTACAAATATTCACCAGTAGGCACCAAAAGATACGAGTACACATCAAAGTTTACAAGTACTGTATGTACAAAAAGTCCCAATTAGCCACCAGTAGATACCAGATACTAATATGTACAAATATTCTCCAATAGTGACTAGTAGCTACTGGTACATACTAGTAGCCACCACTAAATACTAGCAGCCACCAGTAAATACCAGTAGCCATCAGTAAATACCAGTAGCCACCATTAAATACCAGTAGCCACTAGGAAATACTATTAGCCATCAGTAAATACTTGTAGCCAACATTAAATACTAGTAGCCACCAGTAAATACTGCTAGCCAACAGTAAATACTAGTAGCCACCAGTAAATACTAGTAGCCACCAGTAAATACTAGTAGCCAAAAGTAAATACTAGTAGCCACCAGTAAATACTACTAGCCAACAGTAAATACCAGTAGCCAACAGTAAATACCAGTAGCCAACAGTAAATACTATTAGCCATCAGTAAATACTTGTAGCCATCAGTAAATACTAGTAGCCACCAGTAAATACTACTAACCAACAGTAAATACTAGTAGCCAACAGTAAATACTAGTAGCCAACAGTAAATACTACTAGCCACCAGTAAATACTTGTAGCCAAAAGTAAATACTAGTAGCCAGTAAGTAGTATTTACAAAGAGATACTGATACTTAGTAGGGGTCTTCACTTCCATTCAGCCAATCACATCCATCCTCAGAAGGAGTGGGTGGGGCCAGGTGGCCATCCGGTAACGCCCACTCGACTGTGACTGGGTGGCTGCATGAGGCTCTCACTGCCGATTGGTCCGTGGAGAGCCGTGCAGGGTGAATGGGAGGGGCTTAGCTCACTGCATCCAACAGTCCACAGACAAGGATACTGACTGAACACAGACATAATAATAAATATGTATATTATTATATACTGTATATATATATATATATAATCATATATGGTAATATGGCTCACCTCGAGTTGTGAGGAGGGGGAGGAGCCTGTGAGGGAGGAGTGTGGTTGGAGGACGACAAAGAGGAAGAAGAGGAGGAGTTTGGACGAGGGGAGGAGCTACTCCACCCGTCTGATAACACCTGAACACCTTCAGACAGACACACTGACACCAGATCAAGATTAATGTTTAGACTGTATGTGTTTACTTTGTATGAATATATTAAGTATCAAAATAATTTATAGAATATATATATATTTTTTCTTTATTTTATTACAATCTCACACACACACATTCACACATTCTCTCTCACACTCTCTCACACACACACACACACGCACACACACACACACA